TGGATGATGTGTTCAGATGAGCCAAACAATGGAGTAGCGAGCAAAACTGGCTGACCAGGGCAAAATACCTTTTCAGTGCACCCCTCCCACCCCCTAAAAAAACACAGTGATATGATGAAAATCTTGTTTGGAGACCATTTAGCGCCTCTCCGCAAGCGACGCCCGGGGCATCATACACCTCTTGGCCCCCCTCGCTATGATACTGGAGCCAACACTGGCATATCAGATGACTGATGATGAAATCATTGGCTCTGTTTTGAACTTGCCATAGCAAGAAAATGATTAGAACACACAGATAGTGAACTTGATAGGAGTGAGAAAATATTTTTTTAATTAGGGTTTGGAACATGGTGAAAAATACCTAAATTTTTAGGACAGCTTTCACACAGCAAGATTAAAAAAAAAAAAAAAAAAAAAAAAAAAAACTTTATTTAATATCCCTTATTTTTTAATGTCTTTATTGTATACACCTCAATGCTTTTAAATATCCCTGAATCACATATAAATGAATAATATATATATATAATAATTTATGCATATAATAGATTAATGTAATAATGTATATTTATATTACTGTAATAATGTACATATAATTTAATTAAATGTATCTGATATGCCTTACTTATTTTGCACTTTTAGTCAGAATATTATGATTTATCTTTTCTATCCTGAAATTCGCACAACTGGTCCCAAGCTTTGCGGATTTCTGAACTTCTACTGTATATACTATTTGCTATATTTGTCACAGTTATTGTGTTATAAACTTTCAAAACCCTGCAGGAAATTAGGAATCTTTTGGTTTAGTGAGATGTAAGTCTATTATAGGATTAATGGATTGAAGCAAAAGTCTTCTAAATACAGTTATACTGTTAGTCCTTTTCTACTGTCTAAGTTTATTTTCAAAAGATTCTTGTGTCACAAGTTTAGATAATAAATTGGAAAAATACATCCCAGTTATCAGAGATTACTACAAGCAACACGAAGAAGTATCTCTTATTTCTGACTAAAAATAATGATTGTTTCAGTAGCTTCTGTACAAACTTGTTTTACTTGAAAAGGTACAGGTAAAGGATATGCACCTAGAGTCTAATCAGGAGATAAAATTTGATGATACTCATTTTCAAAGAATTGTGTATACATGTTAACACACACAAGACTGTACAACATCTCAATATTCATAATCAATTATCTTAGTTATGGAATAAGAAGGACAAGAACTAACCTTTATTTATGGTTGATTACTGAAATGCCATACAAGAAAGTATTAATTTTATTGATTTGAGAACATCTGGCCTAGATTTTAATGTACAATGCACCCAAAAAAAAAAAAAAAAAAAAAAAAAAAGAGTACAGTTCTATATCTCCCCTTCTACCGGACCAATTGAGGAAATTCAAATTGTGTTTTTCATGTCACGAAAGTGCAACTTAGGATATATATTAGATTTATATATAGCACTGTTCTAACTTAGGTATTTTGACACAAAATCTAACTTTTTCTGAAATGGCATACTAATTTTTTCTTTCATATTTGGATTCTATGACTCAGATTATGCCTAGATATTAAATTTTGTAATTCTTGGTAAGAAATCTACAAATTTACCTTGGCGCATTTTTTTCAGTTACTCTGAATTAAACTCTAAACTAATTTTCTCTCTCTCTTAGGTACTTTTTTATTTACATTATTGTTATCATAACTGAACTGACATTCATAGTTTCCATTTGAAAATTTCTATGGAGTAAGGATGTCATAGCATGAAGCTGTAGCAATTTATTTGAATACTCTATCTAGTGTAAGAACACTTCTCTCCTCAGTTCAGTTTTTTATATCAAATCATATTTTTTTCACTTCACCAATAACCAAGTGTATAAAATTTCTGAAATCTGGTAGTCTGACAAGAGGTCAAATATAAAAGAATGGGCTGGCTATAAGAGTGTTTGCATGGTTTACTATTTGTGCAATGTAATCTATGTAATGTTGTATTCAGCATGCACAACATGAATACAAGTCAGTTGCTTTATCATAACATAAATATGAACCAATTCCAGTTACTTTTAGCCTTTTGTGATGAAAAGTTAAAAACAGTGATAAGTAACATGATATTTACAAGTAACTATTTTTAATATGGAATTTTACATTGCATAATATTAATATGTCCAAAGTAGTTGCGACACTGAGAGGGATCGATTGAGTACATACAAAAAATTAAACTAAAAATCACTAATATATTTCAATAAATTTTAACAGATAATTTTAAAATTAATTGCCTTTATATATAAAAAAGGGAAAAAATCATTAATGATATTTTATGTTTATTGTAAAAATGTAAATAATTAAAATGAAATGAGCTACAGAAGTATTATTAATTTGAAATCTGTCACTTCCAATAACTTATCTAAGGTATAATCTATAATGGTATTCCACTTTTAGTGTTTTTTTTAATGTGATTAAATTTAAAAATTTGAAGTGGAATTAAAGATTTATTTTTAAGTGAATTTGTATTCCTTTCTAAATTTTTAAGATATCGGACTTGTTAAATTGTTATTTCCAAATGATCAATTTATGACCAAATTTATTATTACGGTCAGAATGTTTTCTTCGACTTTCATAAAATATGGTATTTTATAATTCAGAAAATTTATTATTTTCTTAATTTTGATGAACGCTGAATACAGCTATGCAATTAGGATGAGATATAGGGAAACTAAAAAATGATAAAAACTGTAAATTAAATCACCTAAAAATGATTTTTTTCCCATGTCGTAGTGATGAAATTAAAGTAAAAAAAAATTGATAAAAAGTTGAGAGGTTCTTAGAGTTGTCAAAAGATTGACTTTGACTTTTGAGAGATTTTGGACCACCAGTCCAAAGCATATGTACTACAGCTTTGTTTATATTATTTTCATTTAAAATCACTAGAAGTGCAGTATTCCATAGCATTCTTCAAGTACTTAACAATATATATGCCATTTAAGTACAAGTAAAATCCAGTTAGGCATCCCAGTTTTAAAAGAAGCTTTCACTGATCCTTTTCTGTAAAATTACTGTTTGGGGGACATATAGCTGTTTCCCACCAAGTCCTTCAGTTTTTCATAATTCCTAAGGATTTTTAAGACACAGTTTCATATTTCTCATCTGCATGAAATATTAGAAAATATATAATATGAAGAAAGAACACAAATCAAAATGGGAAAAATGTTTTTAATGTGCCAAAGAAATGAACAAACAACATGTATGTATTTTTAAAATGCACTATGAATCTAACTCAAAATTATAAGTACACATCACATTTGAATGTGCCAATAATGAATAAAGTTAGTAGCTGTCTCCAGTCCATTCTTATTATTGCATAGCAGATTATCTTATAAATGATTTGTATAAGCAGTTTTAAAACCATATTATCAAGTCCCTGAATGTACTTTTTAACTGGTATTTAGAAAATAGCTGCTTTGACTTTCTTGGTACCATTAGGGAACCGCGGATAGGGTCATTTTGACCCAAAAGCAATTTTGTTTCCGATTTTTTCAAAAAGTTACTAACAGAATTGAAAAAAATTTCTTGACTTTTCCTATTTTTATACCAATAATAATCTATGAAAATATGATATGTTAAATACTTATCTTTTTTTTTTTTTTTTGTTATTAATACTTTTATCTAAAACAGCAGAATGGGTCATTTTGACCCTATTATAATCACAACTACTAAATTTGCAATTCAACGTTTCCTAGGAATGGGAAACGCAGTCTTTTTTCCCTTTCCCAGATGCAAGCGGAACAATACTTCAAGGTCAGTAGATTGTTACTGATAACAGAAGGGCAGCTGAGAATTTTGTCCTAGTAGTAGCCATTGTTGCAGACTCCCCTCCCCTCCCATTATCATTCCCTATGAGAAAAATGCCTCTGGTTAGCGTATTCAAGGAATGTTTTTATCTTCGATATTTTTTTGGGGGGGGCTATTGAATGGAAGTGGTGCAATACTATAGCCAATGTGGTAGTCTAATGGGTGCACATCTGGTTCTTTATGACTGCACAACTGGTTGTTCACATTGCCTTGGAGATAGTTTGAGTGTACCATCTGTTCGCTTTTTGCCACCTTGTTTACACTCAGAGATAAAATTGATCGTAGGTGAAAATGGTTGGAAGAAATAAGCATAAATTAACTGTTAGCAAGACCCTCGAATATATGCTACAATTATTGGAAAATGAATCTGAAAACAATAATGATGAAGAAATTGTTCTCAGCAATGATGAATATGTGCCTCCAGATGAAGAAAATATTTCCTCGGATGAAGATACCATTTCTAATTTTCCTGTACATGCAGAAAAACCACTTTTGGGAAGAAAAACAATGTGTAAATAAATGTAAAAAGTTATCAGATTCAAATCCAGATGAAATGAACTTTGGAACTTTTGTTACAAATGATGGAACATGTTGGGAAAGCATCACCTCTGGAAATTGTTTGCATGGAAGAACTGCTCAACATAATGTTTTCAAAGAAAAGAGTGCACCAACCAGTTATGCAAAGCGAAATATTGAAAATGGCTATGCAATTACTTGATGGAAGCTACTTATAAATGAGCCTATGCTTCGTCATATAAAAAATTGTGCAGAGGAAGAAGCTCACCGGCAACTGAGAAAAAAGGAATGGTCAATAATTTTAGACGAACTAGATGCTTTTATATCAATTCTGTATGCTCGAGGTATATACGGTGCAAATAATCTAGAGCTTGATATTCTGTGGTTTGGGATCCACCTTTTTTCCGCGATGCTATGGCGAGAGATAGATTCAGAGGATTTATGAAATTTCTGCAATTTGACAAAAAAAAAAAAAAAAAAAAAAAAACTACACGATCTGAATGTCTTCAAACAGATAAATTCTGTTTCATTTCTGAAGTTTGGAAGAAATTTATTGAAAATTCGATAACTTGCTAGCTATAAACCCTACATAACTATTGATGAACAGCTGTTTCCGTCTAAAGCCAGATGTCGTTTCACGCAATATATGCCAAGTAAACCAAATAAATTTGGTATCAAGTTCTGGCTTGATGCTGATGTTGATAGTAAATATGTGCTCAATGTTTTTCCATATTTGGTTAAAGATGAGGACGTCCTGAAAACCTATACCTCTCTGAATAACGTCGTTTTGCATTTGATAAAACCTTTCCAAAATAAAGGAAGAATTATCACCACAGATAATTTTTTCACTACACTAAATCTATCCCAAATGTTAAAAATGAAGAACACTAGTTTAACTGGAACGATGAAACGAAACTGGAAAGAAGTACCTGAATTTGTGAAAAAAGTAAAGATGCCATTATACGATACATTGCTACTGGAGCATGATGATATAACTTCTGACAGTTTATCAGGGAAAAACCAGCAAAAATGTCTTATTATTGATCTCCCTTCATCCCACAGTTGATATCGACAATAATCACCCCCCAAAAAGGCCTCCAGAAACAATATCATTTAATATCATCAAAATTTGGTGTTGAAATTGCTGACCAAATGGCTTCGAAATATTCTGTGAAGGCAGGATCAAGGAGGTGGCCAGTTCATGTATTCTACAATATTCTTAATCTTGCTGGGATTAATTCATGGATTTTATACTGGAAAAAAACTTACAAGGAAAGAATATCTTCAACAACTCATTGAAGAGTTGCGTAGTGCGTATATTCATAAAAGAAAGTACAAGGTCAGATACACAGACAAAAGCGGATACTAATGAAGAATCTGCACAGATGCAAAAAAGGGTTCATTGCCAAGCTTTCAAGTGTAGAAACAAAATTGTAGATACTTGTTCTGACTGTAAAATACCAATATGTGGAAAGTGTACAAAATATATAAAAAGAAGTTGCACAAAATATGCATGAACTGTGTAGGAAATCTTGATTGGTAAGAAACTAAATATTTTTATTAAATTTGTCTTTGTCTGTATATTTTACTAACTGTATACAATATGGAATATTGTTCAGATATTATTTTTTATCACTTATTATAACAATTTAATGTTAAAAATGAATAAATAACATTGCCAAATAATTACAGCATACTTTTACCATAACAACACGGGTTTTTATCAATTGGGGTCAATTTGACCCAGCCCGTGGTTTTAGGTACACTGAAACTGCTGCGGTTAAGAAAGCAATATAGTATAATTTACCATACTGTTATAAATTTTTGTAATTATTTACAATGTGTAACACGGACTCAAGCTAGTTTCCCCAAACCTTAGCCAAACAGCCCTCCCATGCTTTGCCATAATCAAATATACAGAAGTCTGTAACTATATAAATTCATTTGATTCCATTATTGTTTTAATATTACTGTTATTTAGGGTTCGATTTTGCTATTCATTTGTTGCTTTTAGATAGATAATCTCAGGGTTCATTTTGTATATAATTAAATTTATGACCATGTTTTGTATATAAATGGATTTTGTATACAGATCATTACTTTGTGTTCAAAAATGCAGATCTTTTAATTTTATACCCAACAATGCTTAACTTAAAAAACAGCTCAATTCAAATGTGGGATATGGGCAAAAATTCTTTCGAAAAACCTTGGCAACAATTTTTTTTTTTTTTTTTTTTTCTACTGTTGGCGATATTTGGCTGTTTTTGTTAACCTACTGTAACTTGTTTGAAGATTTGAGTAGACACATTTTGATACCTTATGATCAAGTTTCCATATGCCCATACTACATCATATATTCTTGAAAGCTAGAACTAAATACACTAAAACAAGTAAATTGTCAAAAGAAAGTT